ATGTGTGACAGCTATACCGCCCTATCGAACTACTCGAACTCTTCGAGTCGCCTTTCCTCTTTCCGCTGTCAAACTGTCACGTGTGAGACCCATTGTTGAAATGAATTTTAACGATCGACAACATTCGCTCGCTAGTCGCGGAAGGAAGCGTGACCTTCGACACACCCTGTACACGCCGACGCTTACGAGCGCGTGTCGGGCGTGTATGACCCGCCTTGCTCTCCCGCGTGGCGCGATTAAAAGTTCAACGAACCGCGCGCGATTCGCGGCATGGTTGTCTCTCCCTTCATTGATCACCCGCGTCACGATGAGCACGGTCGGCTCGGCGATGAGTCAGAGGCGCGGTGCGTGGAGAGCGGGTTCCCGGCATCCGGCTTCGGATACTTCGAAAAGTCGATCCTCCTCGCGGCACCGCCGCGCCGTCCGCCGCCGAGGATTGCGTTAATTACCGTCGAGAAAGTACCGTTCGCGCAATATGTATTCGCACGCGAAGCGTGTAAAGCGTTATTCGCGGCGTGGCGCCGCGCCGATAACCGTCCCGGCGCGTTCTTTCTTTCCCAACGGGGTCCCTCGCGAGAGACGGTCCAGTCGCGGAGATCTGTCCGATTCGCTTCACTCTCAGTCAGGTATTAGAGACGCTGCAGCACAGCTACACGTCGTGTTGGACTTTCGCGGATAGGCGCGAGACTATATATAATTCATACGGTGAAAGCGCTGCGTGCGGATCCACTTTTTTTTTCTTTATTTGGAAATAAACGAGCGTCCACTGCGAAGTTCACCTTCGGCTTTTTCTATACGACACTCGCCGACGACCGTTATCGTCAGATTGCTTATGTTTATGCGATGTAAACCGATGCAAATTTGCGACCTTTGCTTTAATGTGTGTCACGGCATTAACAAAATTTAGTGTTTCCTTTTTCAATCGCATGGAGTACAGTGGAAAGAACAATTTTGTTGAAAGGTCTAAAAATTTTGCTAAAAACAGATCTGAAAATAATTTGTTGTTGAATCATCAGAATAATTTGTTGGAATGTTAAAACTGATAAGTATTGCTATATAAAACGTTTTAATATTCTAGCAATCATTTTGACTTTCGGACAAATTATTTTGATTATTTTGAATTGAAATAAAATTATTTTGATTATTGAACAAGAATTATTTTCAGCTCTGGATTCAGCAAAATTATTCTTTCCATGTATGTTTATTCTTTCCATGCGATGTTACAACAGATAAATGTTTTGTGGACTCGTAAATTACAAATATAATAATTATTATTATTGCTAATGTTCACAACTTAATTTTCAACATTGGACCGATTGCTCGCGAGCCGTGCAAGGTTTTTTTTCCTCGCGGCACGTTATTAGCTCTATTAGCCGTTATTATTAGTTATTAACTCCTAAAGTCCTACTCGTAATTGATTAGCGCTTGCAACTTGTGATTAATAAGCCTGTAAGTGGCGCAGGTGAATAACTCTTGGAATACCATTAACACGTTTATGGTATTCCAAGAATTATAACGTTAGTTATTGTTTAGCGGAGTCCCATGGTCTCGCGAAACGAAAGATTCTGGCTATTGTTTTTAAGCGGCCTCTCGGGACGCCTTGCGTGCGCACTTTTCAATTTCTCACCGGCTAACAAGGGCGATTTTTCTTAATTCACGTGTAGAAATCATGATTATATTTAACCTTCCGGTGCTCGCACCTCTTCGCATCATGACGAGCGGATGCACGTATACGAGCGTACGGCGACATGTCATCAAGACGTCGGGTACGTTTAGCCGCGTATTTTATTAACGTCGGAGAAACGAGAAAATTTCCACGGTCTCGTTCAGAGCACGTTGTGAGTGTAGAAAAATATCTGAAATAAAATTCACCCACACAATAAAGCCGCAGTTTGGAATTTCTCGGAAAGGACTCGGAATTTTCTGTCAGTTATATCGCGACTTACATCTTTTATTAAACTCACCCGCAGTTTAATTTAACACACGACGAGTATTCTCGCTCGTCAAGTTTTATTGAAACCGAGGAAGAGACGGTTTTTTTTGTACTTGGAAAACTGAAGAGACGCTTTTTCTCCGCGGGATACGCACGCGAATTTAGTTTCCTCTCTGTTATTGCCGGAGCGTCTTGGTACATATTAGAGAGCTGCAGGCAGGCGGTAATGTTGTTAATTCGGTTATACGTGAGCAGAATGACAGAGAGAGAGAGAGAGAGAGAGAGAGAGAAAGAGAGAGAGAGCCGCCGGTCGAGTAATTGTATACAATTACGTCATTTGTTTGCTTTCTGGCGGACCGGCGGGGTCGTGAGAACGGGGCCTAACCGAGCGTTTAAACGGCGACGAATAAATTTGTGTGCCATGTCAAGTGAACTCATAACATGCGCGCGCTCGCGCGTCGACGATAATTAATCAGCTCGAGCGCCGACGGTCGAACGGCCGCCCTCTCCCTCCCCCTCCCCTTCCCCTCCTCGCGAATTCATCGCTCGCGAATTCCGAGCTCTCCTCGGGCTGTTTAGCGGATTATTTATAGGTTTACTAACGTTACATCATTCGCGGACGCGTTTGAGCGCCGGATAATTAGTGCAGCTAATTAGCTTCCGACGCTTGTTATAATTCCGCGGAAATGTTAACCGGTGGCGCGTGGACGTTAATCAGCGGGAGGAGACGCGCCTTAATGGGGCGCATGCATCTCGGGTGAAAATTCACCTCTCCTGGCGAAACGGCATGTACAGTTGGAAACTGTACATACGCATATATATATATACATATATGCCGAGATTGTTGTACGAAACTCGTGACACTGCTGTATGCTAACGAATCGGACGATTATTCCGACCGATATACATACCGATGTATAGCGGTGACTTGCTCGCGCGGCGTGCACTCAATTCGCGGTGACTAGACGATTCTTAGTCTTGCCGCGCAGACCGGAATACGGACGGTAGGTGTACACATTTATTCGTCGGTGGTTTATGAGCCGTAGTGAAGTAGGAATATCGACTGTGTGCGGTTTCGCTTCGCGTCCGATCTCCTTCGAGATCCGCGCGGCAGGAAATGAAAAAAGAAACCGTTTCCCCCGCCCCCCCCCCCCCGTCAGCGGAAAGGAATACGTTGCTGGTGTACCTATATGTGTGTGCATGATGCGCGTGCGGACGCAATTTCCTTGTTGACGGATCCGAAAAAGACGCTGTTCGGTACTCGCGTTGGTGAAATGACATCCGAGAAAAGCCGAGCGAGAGATTTCTTATTTGAACTTTTTACCGATAACCGGACAGAAGAGGCCTTGCCGCATGTTAATAATAACGGAGCCGTTTCGAATCTGGCACGAGGATCGGTGAAAGTCGAGGAAATTGTAAAATAGCGAAGAAAAGTTCAGAACGCAGACTGTCCAGCTTATCGCAATTTCGACGTCGGAAATTAGGTGTAAAATAATTCAATCGAAACGTATCTGGCACGATAAAACGTAATACACGTTTCGCATGTAGGTATACATACGCTCATCAACTAAAAGGGTTGCAACACCTTTTATTTTGAATGGGATTTTGGAATGCAGTTTTGCTCGTGGAGCGATTGAACGTAATTGGTTAGATCCATTGATTATAGGAACCAATCGCTCGGCGAACAGATTGTGTTCCGAAAATGATAAAAAAAAGTATTGCAACCTTTTATAGTTGACGAGTGTACATGTACGTAATATTGCAAAATATTTAAACGTTGAGAGTATCGTGCGTTAAGCGTCAATGATTGACGTCGCAACATTTCCCGACGATACATTCGGTCTCGGGTGTAAGTTACGGAAGAGAGGAGATCGGGCGGTTCTTGCGTGTCGTGAAGTTATAAAAAATGAAAGCCGATCGCGCGCGCGCGCGCCGTCACTGTTCGCCGCTAAACTCACCCGTTGCACATCGCTCACTTAGTATCTTGCCGTTAATCGTCGCCGACGATTACGAACACTTATGATGATAATGCCGCCTTCTCTTCCTCGGATCTCAGTCGTTCCCGATGCGGGCGAGCTTGCGAACGATACCGCGAACGTGACACGGTCGCGAATCTCTCTGACGGCATGGCGGGTATAATTTTGCACAACCTTCTCCGGTATATACGGAACGGTGAGTTTGTGCACGGAAAGAACGATTTTGTTGAAAGGTTTACAAACTTTGCTAAAAGTTTGAACCAGATCTGAAAATAATTTTTTGTTGATCATCAAAATAATTTGTTGGAATGTTAAAACTGATGAGTATTGCTATAAAACATTTTAATATTCTAGCAATCATTTTGACTTTTGCACAAAATTATTTTGATTATTAAACAAAAATTATTTTCAGACCTGGTTTCAGCAAAAATTGTTCTTTCCGTGTGCGCGTGTGTATGTATGTGTGAAAGAAAGAGAAAAATTGGGGAAACAGCACGATGGATTAGCGAGTCTGATGTCTGTGGGAGGCTAGAACGACCGAGCGAGACGGTTCTATGGCGGTCAATCATCGAGAGAGAACCACGTTCTCCTTCGGTTTACGACCAGAGATTTCTTGAACGGGTCAGGCGAATCTAGGACGGGTTCATAAGGTTGCAATGAAAACTGCCGACACACTTCGCTCGGTTAATCTGATCATCTCGGATGACTCTCGAGGTGTAATCGTTGGTTTAAATCGGTATAATAGCCAGCTTAGATATCGCGTAAATCAACGACGCGTACACGATTTCTCTAAGCACTTAGCTTATGTCATAAACGTGGAATTAATGTATACTCTAGAGTAATACAAGCTAATAAATTGATTTTTAATAAATATATAAAAAAATGTATTTAGAATATACAATTTTTACAAATTATAAAAATTGTAGCTTTTATTATATATTATTTATTTCTTATATATTATTATGTTTACTATATCATTTTTGAACTATTGAATAAGGAAAGTTTTTCCGTCCTTGAGCGATGCATCATCACTCGTTTAATATCAATTAACGGAAGCGCTCTTTATCGTTGCAGGTGTAAATCGTCGTAAGATGGCGTCCAACGAGGACGGCGATCTGATTGATCTTGCGAACGATGCGTGCGTGCCGCGGGTCACCGTGAACGATGCGACACCCGACGAACAGGAGCATCTGCTGGACGTGTGTCCGCCGAAGCTGGAGCAGAAACTCTCTCTTACCAGGCAGCAAGAGCGAGTGCTGAACAGCCTCGATAAGGGTGACATCCTGGTGACCTTGGGCCACGATCAGGTGGTACCGATCCGCAAGAGGATCGACGTGGTGTCGTCGGACACGATCAAGCGGGTGCGCGACATCACCAGGAATCTGGAGCCCGTGATACGCAGAACCTGCGCGGGCATTAACGAGGAGACCCAGCAGCAGGACACGGTGGACCACGCGACGGTGCCGAGTTACGAAAGAGCGAGGGAGGCCTCGACGAAGGCGAGGCACGAGGACGAGACGTACGAGACGCGGGAGATAAACGACGCTTTCGATTTCCTCGCCGAGCACGATGACAACGACGACCAAGCGGAAACGGGCTGTTCCGGCTGCGCGAGGAACGAGAACGTCGACCCGAATCGCACGATATCCCCCGCGAGCCTCTTGATCGGCGGGGAGGAGGACAGGGTCAATTACCCCGTCGAGTTGTCGTCCGTCAGGATCGCGAATAAAGAAGCGAGCGGTAGGAGCGACGCGGAGGAGACGAACGGCGCCGTCACGCCGCGCGAGTACGACGTCCAGCCGGACGATTCGGTCTGCGAAGCCACGCCGAATTCGAGCAGGTTCCGCGAGCACAACTCGCCCAAGGGCAGATCGGTTTCCGTCGATTCGGAGTCGCGCGCGAGAGTCGTTCTCAAGAGACGCGGCCAGGAAGACGTCGCCTTCGAGCGCGGGAGCAAGAGGCGCTCCTTTCAAAAGTCGCATCGTAAATCGTGGACGGAAGGGACGAGCCTAAACCCGACTTTTACCGACGGACTTCCCGGTATCGATAGATCCACCAGTTTCAAGGAGCATCGCTGCGGATCGTCGATTTCCAACGGCGATCGTGGGGCGCCCAGCTTTCTCACGAGGTACGATTGCTTCCGTTATACATTTTCATGCTTCACTCATGCAACGAGTGTTTTCGATCGTATATACTTTACGTCGGTAGAAAATAACGAGGTTGCACCTAACTTTTCGGGAGGATTATATATATAACGTTCTACATAACGTAAATTAATAATTAAAAAAAAAGAATCTAATATTAAAACCGCGAGGAGAAAAAACCATTCACGAAAAAATATCTAGTATCCCAATGCAACTTTTGTTATCGTTGAAAATTAAAACAGAATTAAAAAGCTTAATTTTCTCGACAAATAACTTTATTAAAAAAACTCGACAACTCTGACAAATCCGTCCAATTTCTCTCAATAATTCATGTCAAATAGAAAGTATATGAATATTTAAATCGAATTAAAATTGCGTTTCCTGAACCGTGAGGACCGCGAGATGTTTTTACAAGAAATTCCTTCTTCCTTGGCCTCGCTTATAATTCGGCTAAAATCTCATCCGTTTCCGTAGCGACTTCTCACGGTGAGCAAGCTCATATCGCTCGACCGACCGACTCGAATATAAGAATTCGCGTATAGGTAGACTCGAACACGTCGGCAGGAAAGCGCACTTTCGTGCCGGAAATATTTACATAGGCCTGAGAGCCTTAACGAGCGTGCAAACTGTTTCGATTCAGAGACTCGCTCGGGAGAGACGTGCACACACGCCTCAGCGACGATGAGAAACGTGCGCGACGCGCGGGATCCCGTCGCGCGTCGTTCGAAGTTTAAGACACTGACAATGAAAATGCAGATCCCCCTTTGACGACCGCGAGCGCATTACGTATGCCCTGTCCTTTCAAGCTGTTAGCATCAGTGCAAACTCGAGAATTTTAGAGAGAGAGAGAGAGAGAGAGCCCAGCTTTCAGCTGGCAGTACCTTTGAAGTAACTGCCGCACCGAAGCGAGAGAACTCGACACCTACATTAAAAATCACTCTCGATTTTTACATTTTCACGTTTCGGATTTCCAGCCGCGCACGCTCACGCGCGACGCGTGTACATTTTCCTCTTCGTTATTGTTCTTTAATTGCAAAATTGAGAGCCGGGAGACTTCTTAAATTTGAGAGATTTACTCTCTCTGGTGATAGCGAAACTTTCTAACGGCTGCTGGATCAGAGCGATGGCAAGTGAACATTCGGAGTCTATAAAAGGATCGAACGCGTAGCTCTCACCTGAAAAAGAAAAAAAAATTATCACGGTCAAACCGCAGAGGTAAATGACATAGTACGGAGTATGGATTTTCATGATGATTCGCGGTACGATGTCGCGAGGCGAGCATTCACGTAAGCACGCGGACATGCGAACGAATTAAGCCCCCCCGCATCGAATCGAATGAAACGTTAACGGAGGGATGGAATATTACGTATGACATGTGAAAGCGGAAAATTCTGGTCCCCGGTACCGTAATAACGCACGGGTATTATACGAAACGATAAATTAGCGATGAACATGTCGATACGAGAAGAGAAATAGTCGTATTTTTTGTAGCATTTCAATCTTTAGAGAATCGCCGAGTTTTTTTTTTAATCATGTAAATTTCGTTCTAGGAAAAAATACATACATATTTAATAAGATGCAAAATATCACACTGATTTCGAGATGTCTCGCGGTCCTGTAGACGAATAATTTTTTATTTATTTATTGAATTATGTATGAATTTATATTTATATTTTATATTTTAGTATGAATAGTATATTTAGATTTTTCTGATCTGATTATGAATTTGAAGTAAAAAACACGAAATTTAAAATAATGGATCCAAATTGTGATCATCAAATAAATATTTTTTTTTATGTATACATTGACTTATACTGGACTTGGTACCTTATCGATTTTTCAAATAATTATAAATTCGAGAACACAAAATTACAAAATTTAAAATACTTTGTTCATCAATATTGGATTCACCATTTTTAAATGTGTTATCGAGCTTATATTGTAATTAGCGACGCCAAGCATATTAGCAAAAATAATCTACTAAACTGCATTCAATTATTTTGAATTTTTTGATTTTGTTCTCAGATTCGTAATTAGCAAAATTCAAAAAAAACTCAAAATTGTGAAATATTGACTTTCGTGCGAATTAGAAGAACATTTCCTTTTTTTATCATCGAAGATGTAACATTTGTGCGGTCTTCTAAAAGTTAAGCCATATATATTTCCGCTCTTCTTCTTCGCAATGAAACAATACATGAGAATAAAGTATCGTTGCTTTCGGTAACGAATGAAGGAGCTGCTATTCTACTTTTTCTCGCGGATCGGATAATTTACTAATCGCCGCCACCCTGTGTAACGTGCCTGCAATTCCCCGTAATTCTCTTCCGTTTGCTCGTTAACGCCGCGTTCCAGGAGCGCGATTCAACCTTCGTATCCGCGGCCTCTCGCAACAATGGCGAAACGGCCGCTTTTGTTCCGCCCGCGTAGGAAATAATTAATAACAATAGCTCCGCGCGATACTGACACCCGCGCGCGCAAAGGGAATCTTTCTGTCGCCCATTATTATAATCGCGACGTCCGCGATATCGTCGTTTGATATGGGCGCGTCGCGAAAGGGCACGACCGCGTTTTAGAAAGTCACTCCCCGGATTATAATCCGCGGAGCGGTCGCGGCGCGTCTTAGCGAGACGCCCGCCACCGCCGCCGCGCCGCGGCCGTAACGCTTGTCGGAGATGCGAGTTGCAAGACAAGGCGGGATGACTATAAAGATTAGATAAAGAACAGAGATATAATGAAATATAGAAATAAAGGAATATACGTGGAGGAGAGATGAGTCTCTCCTCTCCCGGAAAGGGTACGAAATCTACGAGCTGAAAATTCATTTGTTGTGTTGAAAACACAAAGATTTCTGTCACGACACATCTCTCGCTCTCAAAGTAAATTCGATAAGCACATATATAAATTAGAATCCAAGTATAATACATGGATCTAAATAAATACACGAAGATCCTAATGTTTATGTTATATTTTTATTTTAAAGGATGCATATGCGTTTAAATCACTGTTCCGCGTTTGTAATTGCAATTATAAAACTGTGGACTTTCGTTGCGCTATATTAACATTTAAGTAATCATGTTTGGAAAGCTGCGAGTTCAGTTTATTTTATTCCGCACCTAAATTGCGGGAAATCTGTTTTGCCGCATTTACAACGAAAAATCGTAGCGACGCGATTATTTCGTCACAAAAAAATGCAATAAACCAGCGCGGAAAAAGCTTTTTTGGGCCATTGAAGGGTCGCGGAACGGCGGATATATCGTTATCGATAGACCAACCCGCTGGGAAAGGGCACGACCGCGTTTTAGAAAGTCGGATTGATACGCGACCGCCGCGGGCGCTGCGAAAGCAATCGGGTCATCGGGCGCACGAACACACCGCGCCTCACCTCTTTCTCTTCTTCTCTCCCTCCCTCCCTCCCTCCCGTTTCCCCGCGCGGACACGCGGGATTTGAACAACAAATTTCAGTTGTTATATCGGCGAAACACTTCCCACGCGCGCGACTCGCGCACAATACGGTGAGAGCCGTGCCGCATGTCGGTCGGACATTACGCATCCGGAAAGCCGCGCGTCGCAGTTATGCGCACTAGCTGCCTCGTGACGAAATCCCTCAATGCCTCGCTGCACGTCCGCGATGCGCGCGAGGCGGTTTTCAAACGAAAAAAAATCTACAACGATCCGCAGTCGGAGAAAATTTGGAATTGGCTCGACGCGCGAGATTGATGGAGAATAAGAAAAAAAAGTACTGCACAATTAACACGCAACCGCGTTGCGTAAATCGCCCGTATAGAGTTTGTTTGCAGATATTAAAGTGCGAAATCATGTTCGTCTGTCATGCATTTCACTTTTTTTTTATCACGTATAATAATTCAAACCTACATTCTTCGGCGGTTCTCGGACAATGCTGAGATATCAGCTGAAATTATTAAGCTTCCACGGCACATACTAGATAATCTACTAGATTCAGGCATAAAGTCCTATTACTGTAGAGATTCTGAATCACTACGTGCCTTTTGCATAGCGTCACAAGCGACCAAAGTAGATGTATGAGTAACATGCAGAGAAAAGAAAGTATAGAGCGGACAAAAAGATTATAATCAGAAGCCTACATTTTTCACTTAAATAAAGAGAATAAATTCTGGACACGAAAATCAGCTATTTTGTAAAGAATATTATGTATAATGTTATTAATGCCATCCTTTTTTTTATGCTACTTGAGAAATCAGCACTTTAATATTCTTTACAAAATATTCAAATCCTGATTTCTCATGCAATTAAAAAAGAAAAACATCATTAATACAACTATAAAGCCGTTCTCTCTATTATAATCTTAATGTTTTGTTGAATTTACACTAATGATTGAGCACAGGTTTTTTTTAAACGCAAATGCATGCACATATAAAAAAGAGCATCGACGAAAATAGCGAAAATCTATTTTTGATATATTTCTCGAAAAATAAAGTCCTTCCTGTGAAACAAATCACACTCGAATATGCGTTGTACGTTTCAAATAATTTATTTTACATATAAAAATGCGCGCGCCCGCGCGTTATCTACAAACGTATATATAGCGCGGCGGTCATACTTTCTCACAATTTTCCCCTCTTTCCTCCACGGACTTGAATCGTCTGCTGTAATCACTCTAACCACTATCTCCCCCTTCTCCATCCCCGTGGCCGCACACCTGCGAACGACTCAATGTTCTGTGTTTCGAGGCACGAGGAGAAATTACCGAGCTTCTCCACCCACATTCCTACGATTATCCTCCCACAATTCGTAATCGCGCGACGTTCCCCGCCGCGTCTAGAAGCCGAGGGTTAGAGCGGGGCGGAGACCGCGACGCGGCTCATGCTCCCACACGCGTGTACAGGGCGCGCGATTCGTATCCTGTTATCCTTCGTCGTCTCCGGTGGCCGATGCGTCGGGACGGATGTGGGGTGCGCCAGGGACCCACGGGGATCGGCGTGTAGAAATGCCTTTCTGGCCGCGCGGCCCCGCCGCGTTGGTGCTTGAATCTTGATGCGCTATAGGACTGTTGGATATACCGTCGCGGTGCTGCGTGTCCGCTCGCATCGGCGTTGCGTTTCGTACCGGAAGTCACGGTACGCGGTGCCGGGGGTCGTGTGCGCGGAGGCGTGGAGCCCGCATCGAGGTGACATTTCTTCTTCCTCTCGTCTAGCCTTCCGTGACGCTTTTGGACCCCTCGAAGCGGCACGTGCTACGCCCGTGCGGGGAATAGGCGAGTTCCTTTTCTCTCTCTCTTTCGAATCTCTTCTCTGCACGCGTTATTATTATGCCTTATATGTCACGGCCGGGGAAAGACGGACGCGTGCGGACGTGTAAAATTAGGGAGGACGCGAGACGGGGATGTAGTTTGTTGAACCCGCGCGCGCTTTGATACGGAAATTTTTGAAGTTCGGCGAGAGAGGCGGGGAAACCTGTTGCTCTCGCGTCTAAAAAGTAGATTGTTTGAATTCTCGACGTGAAGAACATTTTTTACAATGTATCTAAAGAGAAAGACATGCCACGCAAAGAAATCGATTGGCTGTTATTATCTGAATAATCGAGAAAAATAGTAGTTAAATTAATTTAGTTGAAAATAAAGTCTGAAATATATTTTGCAGTTTTTCATTTTGCATTTTATGGTATTAAGCGATACGAATCCCATTGATTCCAAATAAATTATCGGTCAATTAATATTACCGATACGGATACTATTATTGTGACCCTGTTTTTCTTTATAATCACTGAAAGATACATGTATAATTTTGTAATTTATTCTCCCGTAACGTCAGCAGAAAAAAGAAAGCTGTTTCGCCAGCATTCGGCTTAATCGTTCGCGTTACGTCGAAGCATACCCGCATAACTCAACGAAATTGTTGTAGCGAAGATTAAGCCCGTATTTTCTTGTGCTTGCAGACAGCCGCCGGAAGCGGAATCAGTGACCGGTCCGCCCGAGGACGTCTGCTCGGACGGTTCCGAGGTGGATTGGTCGTGGCTCGAGGAAGTGGAGTGCCTGCGGGCCGCGGAGTCCCTCGCGACCGCCGGTGAACGTGGCGAACAGGTAGGGAGGGTGAGCGCTGCCCCCACCGGTTCCATCGGCGGGAGCGCGGGACGCAGGCGCGCCTCCGAGCGTTGCGAGACGGCGACGAGCCGCAGTGTCGCGATGTCCGTCACCGCGACGGCAAAGTCCCTAGCGGGTGGCGGCTTGCGGTGGCCACCCTCCGGCGGCGCGCTTCTCCTCGAACGTCAAAACAACAGTGGCAACAATCGTCGCAGCGGCGAACGGCATCGCCGGCATCGCAGCGGTAACGGGAACAATAACGACGGCGAGGACGATGATGAGGAGGCCGCCGCGCGTTGCAACGCCACGAACGAGGCGGCTGATCGCGAAAATCGCGACGGCGCGACGGCAACGACGACGACGACGACCGCCACCGCCGCCGGCTCGGTCGCCGCCACCGCGAACTCGTGGATGCGCGCGTCCATGCGGCGTCTGCGTCACTTGCGATTACCCGAGGGCACGCAACGCGCCAGCAACGGTGAATTATCGGCCAATCGGCGCGCCGTCGTCGTCTCGGCGCCGAATTCGCTGCCGGACATCGCGCTGATCGCGCCGGAGATCCTCGCCGCGCAGACCAACGGCAGCGGCGCGTCCGGCACCGGCCTGCTCCGGCCTTCGAGTGCACCCGCGAGAAACGCGATCGCCGGCGCCGGCGGCGTCGCGACGCCGCGCCGCGCCGGCCGGCAACTCGCCGGTAGATCGCGGGGGGCGCGAAATCGCGAAGCGTCCTCGAGGCAGGGCAGCCTCGCCTCTACGACCACGGCCAGCGACATCACCACGTCCGGCAACACGACCTGCTCCAGCTCGTTCGGCGGTGCCTCCAGCAGCGCGCCCTCCAGCACGGCGACCAGCCCGCAGCGCACCGCTTTGAGAAGGTCAGTGCACGAGTTTGTAATTCCGTTTCTTTCACGTGTAGTCGAGAAAGCTTAGAGATCCTCTCGGCAGAGATGTAGATAGATCGTGCTACTCCAGGCGTAAAATTCGCCGGACAGGAAACTTGCACCGTTTCTATCTCTTTGAAAAAAAAAGTCAGATGTAAAACTGTAACGGTATGGTAAACAATGACATAAAGGAATAATTTTCGTTCGCTCTTAAGTTTTCGAAATAACGGATTGCGCCATTCCGTTAGATGGCTATCGATGTAAACGCTGAAAAAAAAAAACAAACTTAACGCAAGACAGGATAGCAATCTCTGCGCGTCAGCTTGAAATATTCCTTGTCACGCTGGCTGTGCAATATCCGGAGGGGGGATGGAAAAATAAGTAAGCTACGGACGATGGCGATCTGATTGACGATTAGCAAATGTTCCGTCGCCCTGCAGAAATGTGTGGCAGATGCGCGACGATGATTCGAATAGCATATTTAAAACGCGCGGGCAAAAAGAGCCCGATCTTTTATATGGTTGGCTGAAATTTCTCAGAGTCGACCCTGTTCCCTTCGTCTCTTCTTTCTCGCGACCTTGCCCCGGACCTCTTGCCCCACACTCGCCGGAAGCGCGAACGAACGTTTAATGACTCGGTCGTTACTTGCTGCCGCCCGTTCAAGCTTGACAATATACTCGCGCGCCTTGGCAATCCCCCCCGTTCCCCTCCGCGTTTGCGCAATCGGTCACTTCGTCGGTGTGCCTCGCGGCGTTAGGAAATTAGACTAGAAAATTATCCTCGCACGTCGGATTCTTTCCCGACCGTCGGATTGTTCCCGATTAGGTACGTTTCCACCTTGGAAATCGGTAATCCTTGCACGCTTTTTGTTCGATTATCGCAAAGAGACATCGTCTAAGTCGACGTTCTTGCGGAGTCGCGCGTAATTGATTGGCAACGATATCGGAAACTGGATGTATTGACGAGCCATGAAGGACGTTACGTGTCTTGCTGTCTGCCCGTGTTTGAACGTTATAAATATTTTCGATCCTCTCGAGTAGAGAGCAATCCGATGAAATCCAGACGTGAATTCAATTTTAAAAAACAAGATAAATCTCTCGACAAAGCGGTGCGAGATATACAGACAATTCCTAACGACGTTCATTTTATTGATAAATAATAAAAGAAAATTGTCATGAAAGATCGGCATTGATGTGCGAAACGTATTGATGTATAAAAACGTATAATGGTACAGGGACTGCTTTTATACGATATAAACGATCGTTTTTTTTTCTATTCAGCGTTTCATCTAACGGTCCTTGACATGCGCCACTGGCTGTGTTGTCATACATCTCAACTGCAGAATTCGTTCGTCCGCGATGTGTCAGAACATCCCGTTTCGTCTCTATCTATCTGTCACAGATATTTTGAACTATGTATATTCTATCAGTGTCACGTACTGTATCGTTTTGTCTCGTATACGGTGTTCGAATAGTTAGTAAAATTCGCGTTAAACCATCACTGGTGGAGGAATGTTATACGCGCCTAACCGATCATTTTTGCCCCGGCAAGACACACCAGTAACCCACATAGGATTCGATAAATTTATCAGTCGCCCGGAGGTAACTGTAAATTACACCTCGTTTGCCGCAACAAGCCTAACGAGTCCCGTTTGCTAAAATCGCAAACGCCGAGGATATCTCGATGTTACGCTCATTTATTCGTAACCGACACTCTTCGCGACTTTAATCCCGGGATATCAAACGTATAGGCCACGTGCGAAACGTAATTTATGGTGCCGAGATGAAACGGCAAATATTTATAATCGCGAGAGATTTACTGCCATTAATCTTCCGAGTGCTTTCTGTTTGCATTATATACTTTGGTTTATTTAGAAGTATCCCTGCTGGAGATGAAATTGTTATTTTTAGACAAGTGATAATAACGAGTGCGAGATATCTCGATTCGCTAACGATTCGACGTCGCGCGATGCAAATTTGTTTCCAAGCGCGAACGCGCCGACGTGCGTCTCAGCTGACTTGTCAGTGAAGAAATAATTTTGAAATGACGAAATACACTCGAATGTATTTGTGGCAGAGCCAAGTTTTGAAATCGGACACTGATAATAACAGTCCAATTTGTAACGAGTCGATAGGTCGATCCGATCGGTTCGATCCGCCGTACAGCCGAATCGCGTGAGGTCGAAGATTTCGTAAAGATCCCGAGACAGGGTCGACGATCTCCAGAGATTGTTTCGCTGTCGATGAACCGTGTAACCTGTTGCGCAATCCGCTCTCCTGAGCAGGCAGCAAAATCCGTCCGGGGATGACGGAAGGAGAGCCCCGGCGAGTTTACGCGCCGGTTTTTCCGCACGTATACCGCAGCGTGAGAATGCAAAGCGGCGGCTACTCTCATAACGGAAAACGCAACAGACAGTTGCTCTGCGCGCGACGTCTATATTGTGCGGATGCGTCTATTATTAATGAATAATTAATCAATAATCGGCAGCCGATTATCGACGAGAGATCTCCGCTCGCAGCCGGCGTACCGGGAAGAATGGCGCGTTCAACAGAGAGACATCGCAAAGCCTTCACGCGAACATGTCGATGAAATTTCTCTCGATTTAGCGAGGTAGACAAAACACGTGCGGACACTCCGCGCGCGGGATTTAACAGGATCGACGCGTCGGCCATCTGCGGAGCGCGCGACTCCTCTTCGCCCGAGGCGCGTGGACGAGGCGCAATGAACGCGGCGATTTCGAGCTCGGTCCGAGTATTCCCGCGGAGAGTCCGTGAAACGGCTTCCCTGCCAATGAACCGTGCCGAGCCGAGTTTCTTCGTTCGTGGAAGTCACGATTATCCCCCCGGTATATCGAGCTCTCAATCGAGAGCGGGAAGTCCGATCGAAGAACCCGGCCGCTCCTCTCGAAGAGCGGCGATCGTCGATCGCGAATCGCTTCGCCCTCATTGAGATGTTTTTAATGCAATTATAAACGCGCCGTGATTAACCGCGTGCACGTCACGTTTCTATGTAATTTAATCCGTCGGATTTAATTTTCGGCGGATAATAAATTCGATTACGGCGCGGCGGATAATTGGAGGATACATGCACGTTGGCGTGATAACCACGTTGAATCTTATTCCGACATTTATTGCAAGAATTTCTTTCATAATTAGGTATGTCGAATCGCTCGGGGGAGATCGTTATCACGTATCGCTGAGTTTTTCAGAGTTTTCGAAAATAAATATTTGACGAAATCGAACGATACCTCTTGAAAATTGATATGATTTTTTAGTGTTCCTTCGAAAAAATTTAATTGCATCTCTTCCAGTCTTTTAGATTTCGAAATATATATTTATATTTCAGGACAAAATTCTACTAAAGTTTAACTGAAAACCGGCGTAATATTCGTATTCTGATTTATTCATCAATTTGATAAATTTGTTTGATTCATCAAAATTTTTTTTGTTACAAATCAAATACGTTTGTTTCCAATAAAGGATTCCAATTTCTCGATTCGAGGGAATGTCGGCGCGTATAACAAATACATTCATTATTGAATAGTTTATGTATTTAGAAGTATTGTGTGTGTATGTGTGTGTGTGTGTGTGTGTGTGTGTGTGTGTGTGTGTGTGTACCATTCCTCTGATTTTCGTTGAGGAATTTAGGAAATGCCGCTCGATACATATTTTCTCTGTAGTGTCAGGGGAAGAGAGATAGAGAGAGAGAGAAAGAGATGGAGAGTGTATTTTACTCTCGAGACTTGAGGTTATCGCATGATAGGAGAAGGCGTTAATGAGAAATCCGAGCCGTGATACAATTATACATGCTAACAACGTGTTCTTTCGTAATTGCACGGATTCTTCTTCGACAATGGTCGTCGTAGAATTTGGGTCAGTCGGTTGTTACGGGAGTAGGCAGTACCGGGTCGACGACGGTGCGCCGCACGTAAGTTACCGTAACGGTATATACCGGCGATTATAGCCGCGAGGATATCGCGCGGCGTTGGGTGTTCTATAATCGTCGGGATAAGAGTTCGCCAAAGTGAGAGGAAGCGCGAGCGCGACTTTGTTCTCTTTCGTCGCGTTTGAACGACGCCCCTCGAGAACTCCGAAGTTCAAGAAACGAGAAAAAGAGAGATATATATCTCGTTCCGAGTCGAGTCTCGCGGCAACAAGATCATCCTCTAAAATAAATCACGATTCTGATTTTATTTGTAGTCCGGATTTTATTTATAGTCGAATAATTCGAATATTCTCATCCGTCATTTCTTGAGAACGAACGCAGCGCGGCATGTCGCGCTGGATCGAGATAGTCACGTCGTTCGGTCGTTGCACTTAATTCTTTGTACATACTTGCTTTTCCCGCGTCGCCTCTTCTCGGTAGTCCTATTGATCTCGGCGCGAGGGTCGTGTGTCGTGTCAACGCAAACGGCGGCGCTCGGCTTTAGCGCGTATGCAGACAAGCTTGTAAATTCCAAACGTGAGTCACCTTTTATAATCCAAGTCGCTAAATCTTGATTTATATATTTATCTTACGAGATGTCTCTTCGGAACACTGAACTCTTACATAATCTGCGGATCCTTTTTTAACGTTTGCCAATTAAAGAATTAGCGAAAGTCGTTAGATAACAATTATCTCACTTGAGAATCGATTTTCTTTTCCGATTACGAAAAAAAAGAGAGTTATCCGAGTAAGAATTAATATATGCTCGGTTACTGTTGAAGTAATTATTATCTAAGCTTTGGATATATTTATTTTAAGTATAATTAAAATTGTTAGAAAAAGTCCTGCAGAAGATTATAATGGATGATGATTATTACAACAGAAAAAAAAGTCTTTTGTAAACATGGTAAGAAACCTGTTTTTATCGAAATATCTAGAATCTATTTTAGACTGCAAACTTCCAGTAAACTTACGGGGAAAACGGAGAAAAGAAAGACAAGTAAAAACTCGGAGTGGCCCGAAGTGATCCCGAAATAAAGGATCTCTCTCTGCGTGCGCAGATCCTATCG